CATATGCATTTACAACTGATAACAGTGCCGCAAGCATGTATGTGAAAGGTATAGGAAAATTGCTGATGGAACCAGTCAGCCCCCACTCCATCGGCCCCCACTCCTGTGTAAGTGTGCAGGCTTTCCCCAGCTCAGGGTCATCTCCCAGGCGATCTGAGGGTCGGAAATATGCCATTTGCTACATATTTCAGCTGGTTACATGCATATCTCTCCAACCCATTAATCAAAAATTTTAAAGCACCTGCTATGGGCAAAACGCTACCCCAAAGCCTGCAAGGAGTAAAGACAACATGTCAGGAATTCACAAGATAACATAGGTAGCAAGAGATTCCAAGGAAGATGACTTTGAACAGAGGAAGTAGGAAACACACAACTGCAGTAAACATTGAGTTCTACTCTGTCCCAAGCACAGTGACGGTTTATTGAACAAACTACTAGGGGAGCAGGTGGAATGTCAAGATTGCCAAAATAAGTAAGACAGAGTCCCTCTGAATGACTTCCCAGATTGATGCCTCAGGTGGGAAATGAGTTTGGTTTATGAATGGGTAGGATTTAGGGAGGGCAGTGGTGCTCAATGTACATCTGTTGAATAAACAGCTGAATTCCATGGCCATAAAGATCTCTGGTACAAAGCCGGGAATTCAGGAAAGTTCTGAGTGTGGAGGGAATGAGGACACTTTCTGAGGCAGTACAAAATACTGTTAGGGTAAAACTGAAGGATCGAAAGGCTAGGTTGGCACCAGATATTGGACGGCTTCATCCTGCACACTGGGGAGCTCCAAATCAGTCTACAGGAGTGAATTACCTTCCGATGTTTTCGGAAGATTACTCTGGTAGTCTGTCTGCAGGGCAAACTGATAGCTTTGTGTCTATGCTTTCTGCCTATACAGAGTTCAGTTTGGAGAAATAAGAAGAACTTAGGCTGCTAAGGGAATACAAAGGCCAATGGACAGCAAACCACTTCATTTGGAAGAAAGTGACTAAACAGAAGGCTGGAAAGGAATCTGTGGACATTTTGCCTAAATGCTAATGATGGACTGTCAATGATGCTGACATTGCCCCGGAAGGATAATTAACTACTGAGGTGTGAAAAGGTGCTGAGCCCTCTTCCCACATGCAGGAAATGGGAGGGCACGCTGGGCTGAGGTGCAGCCTAGCCCTTTGGCCCTGGGCTGGGAAGGCCCCATTTGGCCTGGCTTGCCACCATCCTGGTGGGAGCTACTAAGGCAGGACCGAGGAATCAGGCAGAGTTGGAGGCTCTTAACTGCAGGGAAATATTTTGGAGAGAGAAGCGCCCAGGACTTAATGTGAGAGCAGAGGTTCTTGCTCCTTTCCTGTATAAATTCCTGGATCCACATTGGGCACAGGGACAAGCAGGGCTCCTCTTGAAGACTGCCCACTGTAGAGAAGGATGGAGAAGATCTAGGGAGTCTACACACCAAGAGGCCACATAAAGACCAAAGACACCTTGTTTTGGATAAAGGGAAATGGTGTTGAGGGCCAACTAAGTACCAGGTGCCACCTTGTAGGCACATCGATATAGATGATCTCAATTGAAACTCACCTTCCAGGGCGCCTTGGTGGCTCAGTTGGTTAAGTGACTGCCTTCGGCTCAGGTCATGATCCTGGAGTCCCTGGATCGAGTCCCGCATCGGGCTCTCTGCTTGGCAGGGAGTCTGCTTCTCCCTCT